GTCATAAACCTCTGATGTTTGTGGATTAATTTTCCTAACAAAACCCACGGCCAGATGCGCACTGCTGCTGGGGACAGCAGTGTCACCCCAACCCAGCCCTTCCTCCTGAATCTCCTCTATCGGTTACCACTGGGTTTAGGGGAAATCAAACCGCAAATCTTCCAGGGAAAAGGATCCCACACAACCTTTTTATTTATTCCCAAGAGTTGCCAGGGTGTTAGAAGTGCAGTCACACAAATCGTGCAAGCTTAGCTCCGGTTTTCTACTCAGGATGAAGAATTTGTTTTAAAATCTGAAAAAAAAAACCCAAACAAACCCCAAAACCTCAACTCTTTTAGCCTTTCTTCACTTCTAATAGTCAAAGAGAAAAGAGATTCACTGCTTTCTGCAAACTTTTTTCGGAGACCGGGAGAGAGCCCAAAACCCCATTTCTRTTTTGATGCCGCGGCTCGGCGCTCTGAGAAGATGCTCGGGAGCAATAAATTCTCGTGGCTCTCCTCAAGTCCTCTGGACCTTTCCTTTTTCCTTCCTGCCGTGAATTCCAGCCCCGCAGCTCTCCCCTCGCACCGACACAAGCCTCCTCGTTGTAATTACCCCGCTGTGAATTCCTCGACAAGTTTTGTTTTTTTTTTCCCTGGCTCGGAGCTCCGCAATCTGTGGGAAGCATCTCCCCGGAGGGGCACAGCTCGGAGGGAGGATATTGTTTCCATTCACGGCGCTGGGCCATGCTAATTATGCCGGGAGAAAAAAAAAAAAATAAAAAAAAAAAAAAAAAAAAAAAAAAAAAAAAAAAAGGGAGGGCGGCAGCTTTCACTTGGGAGGGACAGGCCGGGCAAATAGTTCGTGAAACGCCAACTTAACCCCATCTTGTAGGGGATTGTCTCGGGTTCTTTTCCCCCTTCCTAGTTACTGTAATGAGGGGCTGACTTCCCAGATTAGCTCTGGCTATTTAGATGCTAATTTAATTAACAAAACATCCTCGGGGGGGAGGCGCTGCTCGTCCCCTCCCATTCATTTATGGAGTTTCTCAATGCGACACTGTTTTTCATGGGCTTGAGGAGCCACAGTTATTGCTGCGCCCACCTGGTTGTGGCAGGGTTTGAGCGGGGAGAAAATCAGGTCCTTCATCTCAATTTTTTTAAAAAACAACTAAATTTGATTACTTTTGTTTAGCAATAAATGATTAYATGTGTCTCGCAGAACTGCAGCGCCCGCAGTGTGCGTGATCACCAGGATGCCAGGGAAAGAAGATTTTGCGTTTATCTTGATCAAAACAAGAATGTTTCAGCTCTCGGATCATCCAGAAAGAATTTTATCCCAGGGCAGGCCAGAAAACACGACAATCCTTTGGATGCCTCTTCTTCCAAACCTCAACGAGCAACAAATCAAGCGCGTTTTAAATCCAACTGTGTTTTAAATCCAAGCACGTTTTAAATCCCCATTCCTGTTTGTTGGGCTGCGCGTCCAAAGAGAGGCATCAATTCTGGATTTCCCTATTTTGTGCCCATAAATCATTCAGGAGTTGGAAAACCAAACCGGCGGATCTAACCGGGATTTAGTCCAAGTTTTAAACACCACTAATTTTTGCAAAAAAATGCACTCAGGGAAGCTCCTTCGCACCATCAAGGATCAGATCCTCAGCACGAAATACGTGGTGAAACATTTTAAAAAAACCCCAACTTATTGCTGTTGTATATTTTTCATGGATTTTTGTTTTGTCCAGTCTCTGGGGTAGTAAATTTTAGCAATAAACTCAAAATACCATCTAAGATGTTAACTTTGTCTTCTGGTTTATCTTGCTTTTCAGCCTGAAGATATGGAGATATGGATGGATGTGGTAGAAATTTGTAGGCACAGGCAAAAAGTTTGTTATAAATTTATTTCAACTTTCATTGAGAAAGGAAGCGCCAGGAAAACCAGAAAATTAACAACGGGTAAAAAAAAAAATCCGGATGAAGCAGCAAATGGATTTTTTCAAATGAGTTCTGTCAAAA